TTGTTTTTTTTTTTTTTTTTTTTTTTTTTAAGCGATGATTCATCGGATTTTATTTTTTTTTCAGTCACCGCTCGAGTACAAATGTTTTGACGTAAAACTTTTGGATAAAATCTACAACTTTTCTAGACCAATCAACCTTCAAAAGACATAAATATCTTTACTCGATGTCTAGTGTCTCTCTTTCATCCTCTTTCAGCTCTGCAGGCTGGATTGTCCAAAAATTTGGTGGTACCAGTGTTGGTAAATTCCCAGAAAAGATTGCAGATGACATTGTCAAAGTGTATTCAGAAACCAATAAAGTTGCAGTTGTGTGTTCAGCTCGTTCCTCCAAAACCAAAAGTGAAGGTACCACTTCAAGATTACTTAGGGCAGCTGATTTAGCCTCAATTGATGGTGATTATGAAAAAATCTTAAAAATTGTTCGTGATGACCATGTTGAAAATGCAAAGAATAAGATAAAGGACTCTAAAATATTGGCACAATTAATTGATGATACAAATTTCGAGTGTGATCAAGTTTTGAAATTATTGCATGCTTCACAAATCATTGGTGAAATTTCACCAAGGACTTTAGACTCAATCATGTCTGCTGGTGAGAAATTAAGTTGTTTGTTCATGGCTGCATTATTTAACGATCGCGGTATTAAAGCTAAATATATTGATCTTTCATTAGTTATTGCCCCAGGTTTGGATTTATCTAGAACTGGATTTGATGATGCTTTCTATAAAAACTTGACAGAATTATTCACTGAAAAAGTTCAAGAACTTCAAAATCAAGATGTTGTTCCTGTGTTGACTGGTTATTTTGGTATAGTACCAGGTGGGTTATTGAATGGTGTTGGTAGAGGTTACACTGATCTTTGCGCCGCTTTGATTGCAGTTGGTGTCAATGCCGATGAATTACAAGTTTGGAAGGAAGTTGATGGTATATTTACTGCTGATCCACGTAAAGTTCCAAATGCTAGATTGTTGGCATCAGTTACACCTGAAGAAGCTGCAGAATTAACATATTATGGTTCTGAAGTTATTCATCCATTCACCATGGAACAAGTTATTAAGGCTAAAATCCCAATTAGAATTAAAAATGTTGAAAACCCAACTGGTGAAGGTACTATTATTTATCCAGATGATGTTAGTAGAAAAGGTGAAGCTACACCACCACATCCACCAATTAGTGTTTCAAAATTACCAAACAGTGTCTTCCAAAAGAAGAAAGCAGCTACTGCAATCACTACAAAACATGATATTATAGTATTGAATGTTCATTCAAATAAGAAAACATTATCTCATGGGTTCTTGGCTTTGATCTTTTCCACTCTAGACAAGTATAAATTAGTTGTTGATTTGATTTCAACTTCAGAAGTGCATGTTTCCATGGCCCTACAACATTCAGATGATGAAAATGCATCAAGAGATTTGAAAGAGGCAGTTTTAGAATTGAGAAAATTAGGTACAGTTGATGTTACTAAAAATATGGCTATTGTGTCATTAGTTGGTAAACAAATGAAACAATTCATTGGTGTTGCCTCCACTATGTTTTCCACATTAGCTGAACAAAATATAAATATAGAGATGATCTCTCAAGGTGCTAATGAAATTAATATTAGTGCAGTTATTGATGAGAAAAATGCTATAAAGGCTTTACAATCAATTCATCAAAAGCTTTTAGAACAACATCAACAACCAATCTTGAATGAAAGAATTTCACAATTGAAGTTAGAAGAATAATCCTACATATTAATATAACATAACGGAACTTAATGATAAAAGCAAAAAGTGTCGAAAATTATCTTATTATAAATTGTAGTTTCTTTATTTAAAACACGAATATTTGATCACCAGCTTTTGAAACAGGTTTAGCCTTTTGGAAACCAAGATTAACAGCGGCTTTTTTAACAGAGTTAACCATTGGTGGAGGACCACATAATAATAATTGAGTTTTATCAGTAGCTGCAGGAATGAATTGGTTTAATAGTTCTGGGGTGACATAACCAACACCACCATCCCAATTTGGACCTGGTCTATCTAATAAATAATGAACTTTGATTTGTGGATGATTTTGAACAATATGATCTAATTCTTTTTTCAATAGAATATCAGCTTCAGTTTGATTACCATAGATCAACTGAACTTGGGTTTTATCTTCTGGATTTGAAATAATAGCATTAATGATTTGATACATTGGTGTAATACCCGTACCACCTGCAACCATACCAAAATGGGTACACATATTTGGAGTATATTCGAAAAAACCTTTTGGACCTCTAACATCAATACTATCACCAATCTCTAATTCAGCAATATATTTTGAAATGTTACCAGTTGGATAAGATTTGATTAAAAGATCGAAATAACCTCTTTCGGCATCATTTGAAGTTGGAGTGTATGATCTCACGATATCTTTACCATTAATGTTTGCACTTATTGAAATATGTTGACCAATTGGTAACCCAAGAATATCAGATGGTTTTGGTAAACCAAATCTATAAATACCAGAATTATGTGACAAGATTGTTTTTTGAATCAATGGGAATTTTTGGAATTTTTCTTTATTTAATACCTTGCGTTCTTTGGATGATAGAAATAAGACTGTTGAACCAATTATGGCCAACAATGCAATAGCGATTGCAATGATTGGTAATGACATGATGGTGGTTTAGCAGGTTAACTAGTAAGAAAAATCAATGAATTGAGTAGGAAGGATCCAATTGACCTTTTATAGAAATTGACAGGTTGATTGTGGTTGAACCAAATTGAGGAGGAATCAAAGACGTTGAAATCAGGTTTTCTATTCCTTTATTGGAAAAAATTCAGAGGTGAAAAAACTAGGAAAAAAAGCCCAACACAAAACGCGTTCGCGGTACGAGTCGCGAATTTTACTTTTCGCGAAAACTATTTTCACAGAATGCATTCGCGAACAAACGTGATTATGTAATACAAAGAGCGAGAATGACCGAGTTGTGCTTTTAATGTTGATTCAAATACAAATAAAATGCTCCAGCTTCTTAGTTATAGACAGGCAGCTGCCTAGCAGCCTGACAGTTTCCTTTAAACCCCTGTTTGTCGCAGAGGCATGTGCTTAGCAGCTTATCACGCACAATTCTGACACTCGCGGCAGCTCTGATTTTCATTTGCTGATAAGGAAAAGGCCTTGAGAAAGAAAATTTTGTTAGCGAGAGTGGCATAACCAACAACAAAACCATGAGAAGAAACAACATCATCAGCAAAAGCATTAATAACACCAACTGTACCTTAGTCAAAAGCAGCCACTGTACCTTTGTCCATTGTGCCATCTTGTGTCCTTATAAGTCCAAAACCCTGCCCTTCTGCTGAACCGTATTCCCTAGAGGTGGCACCATAGTACAGAACTTTCCATGTCTGACCAGGACAGCCCTCCAAGAGGCTACAACTCATCAAATGTCAAGCACAGAACACATTCACTATCAGGCGCTCTATCCATCTCTCTAGGGCTAAGCTCATCCTATGGGAACAACTACAACAGTGATCCAAACCAATACATTGGAAGAAGTTTTGTGGGAAGTTATAAACAGGTTAGACCTCAACCTAGTGAAAGTGCCATATTGAATAACAACACTTCACTTCATGAACAAACCGCCACAATCGCTAATGATGATGATTTATTCTTGGATGATGTGAATGAAGACGCTATACAGAGTGACCACACAAGTACAGTCGGTATAAGTGTACAACAAGATGATGTTAATGAATCTACATCCCTACTACAAAACCAACCTTCAAGTGGGTATTATTATGATAATGATGATATAGAGGCACAATTCAAAACCGTTGCAACCCCACCAAGCCATCAGCATAACCTGAATGATAAAATCACATGGCAAGATATGAAACCTTTGAAATTGATTGGATATTTACCAAGTGTGATATTAGGTTTATTATTAAATATTCTTGATGGGTTATCATACGGTATGATTATTTTCCCAATTGGTGAAAAAGTGTTTTCTCATCTTGGTTCTGCTGGGCTATCAATGTTTTATGTTTCTTGTATTGTTTCACAATTGGTTTATTCATTGGGTGGCTCAGCATTTGGTGCTGGTATCGGTAGTGAAATGATTGAAGTTACTCCATTTTTCCACGGAATGGCTCTAAGTATCATGCATGAGATTGGTGAGGATCAACCTGATAAAATCATTTCCACCACTATCACAACTTATGCTATAAGTTCAATGATTACCGGGTTAATTTTTTTAATGTTGGGTAAATTCAAATTGGGTCAACTGGTTGGATTTTTCCCTCGTCATATCTTGATTGGTTGTATTGGTGGTGTTGGTTATTTTTTGGTTATAACAGGTATTGAAATCAGTTCAAGGCTAGGTGCTTTTGAATATAATTGGGGTTATTTAAGTACTTTATTACAAGGTGAAAATCTGATCAAAACTATAACACCAATACTATTAACTGCTGGTTTGGTTGTATTACAACATTATAACCATAATTCATTAATATTACCATCATATTTCATTGCAGTTTTCGTTTTGACCCATATTTTAATCATTTTAATTCCATCATGGGATCTTCCATCTTCAAGAAAGCATGGCTATATGTTTTCTTCAGGCTCAAATGGTGAATCATCAACAAATGAAGCTTGGTATGAATTTTATAAATTATACAATTTCAAAATTGTGGAATGGTGGATTATTGTTAAACAAGTTCCTTCAATGCTTGCTCTAACTTTTTTTGGTATTTTACATGTTCCAATTAATGTTCCAGCCTTGGCTGTTTCAACAAAACAAGATAATGTTGATGTTGATAGAGAATTGATTGCACATGGTGTTTCTAATCTATTAAGTGGTGCAATTGGTAGTATTCAAAATTATTTGGTTTATACTAATAGTTTATTGTTTATTCGTGCAGGTGCAGATTCAAGAATTGCTGGTATCATGTTGGCAATCGCAACTTTTTTGATATTAATCATTGGTCCCGTTGTTATTGGATTTATACCTGTTTGTGTGGTTGGCTCTTTGATTTTCTTATTGGGTTATGAGTTATTGAAAGAGGCTGTTTGGGATACTTGGAGTAAAGTTTCCACAGTTGAATACTTAACAATTGTTGTTATTGTGCTAACTATGGGTGTCTATGATTTTGTTATTGGTATTTTAGTTGGTATCATTATTGCAAGTTTCCATTTCCTTTATGAAAATACCAAAATTCCAATCATTTATAGTCAATACACTGGTGAAGTGGCAAGATCAACTGTTATTAGACATCCCCTACAAAAACAATTTTTAAGTAAAATTGGGAAACAAATTTATGTTTTGAAATTACAAAGTTTTTTGTTCTTCGGTACAATTGGTAAAATTGAGAAAACTGTTCGTGATTTGTTTGAAGAGGAAAATTTACACAAGAACCCAATAAGGTATTTGATTTTAGATTTCAAAAATGTTTTGAATGTTGATTTCAGTGCAGCTGAAGGGTTGAATCGTATCAAGAATTTTATTATTGAACAAAATGCTTATATGATCATTTCAATTGGTGATAAGGATAATATTTTAACATCATTGAAAAATGTTGGTTTATTCGATCATGAAAATGAAGCTATGATTTCTAAATTACAAGTTTTCCAAGACTTGAATGCTTCTTTAGAATGGTGTGAGAATGAATTTTTAACTAAATTTAAACAATATCAAAAATATAAAAAAGTTGAAGCTTCAATGTCAATTCCAACATCATCTTCTGAAGATAATCAACATTTACAAGTCAATAAATACGCTGCTTTACCAATAAATACACCAAGAAACACAAATTTCATTAAAGAAGCTCAACAATATATCAAAAAGGAATCAAGCATTATTCATAAACCTTTAAGATCAACTTCAACTTCCACCAATGTTGAATTACAAGAACCATTACCATTATTATTATTTTCATTACAAGGATTATCAAATAAAGATGAATCGTATTGGAAGAAATTGGTTCCATTTTTTGAAAAAAGAATCATTAATGCAGATGAAGAATTACATATTGCACCAACAGAGTCATTTTTCGTTTTAATGGAGAGTGGTGTTTTAACAGTTACTTATTATATTAATTCAAGTGCAAACATTTATGAAACTTTATTACCAAGAACAATCATTGGAAGATTTAATGATGATGTTGTTAGAAAAGATCGTTATAAATCAGTTTTGAAAGCTAAAGCTAATACCACAATTTGGGTTTTGAATGATACCAAGTTGAATAACTTGAAACAAAACAAGATTGAGCTCTATAATGAATTATTGTTGATTGTTGTTAAATTGAATGATGAAAGATTTGAGAATATCACAGGTTACACTTTGATTTCAACATGATGATTACACTTGTTACAATCAGCGCGGGCCGTGGTGTTGTTTGATCGCGAATTTAGCAAAATCATAGGCATATAGCAAAAAGGTGTCAAAATCAGCATATTTTAAATTTTTATATAACTTTCCATTCATGTAATAGACATTTGGAATCATTAATAATACAATCCATCACAGTAGCTAAAGATGTCTTCGCCATTGGATAATTATGACTTGCCAGATATTGATGAACAACTATCAGACAGCGAGAGTGCTTATGAAGGTAATGCACAAGAGGCAAAAGGATATGAGAAGAACCCACTGAAAGAATCAGGACCTCCAGATGATCAACCTTCAAGAACAGAATCATTACATGAGCTAGAGAAACAAATCACAAAGAACAAAGTGCCACATCATGATGTTGTGAACCCAACAGGAGACAATGCGCTATTCCCAGAAGAGTATCAAGTGGAAACAGACACTGGGTTGGTTAGATCCACAACAGCGCTATCTTTACAAAAATCAAGATCAAGACAACTTTCAAATCATAGTACAGATCATGATAAAGCAGGTGGAAGCCCTGATGAGAATAAGGATTTAGGTAATGGCCTGACTAAAGAGAAGCTGGACAAGGCTGTTGAAAGGAATAGACGGGCGCTAGCGAAACAGAAAAATGGGAAAGGATTCTTCCATAAGCTCAAGGGAATATTCACATGAGCTGAGGTTCTCAATAAGCCGCTATAAATATATTCTAGATACAAGTGATACAAATAATAAAAATCGTAGACAAGCTGTCTTTGTAATGCCTATTGTTAAAACGTGACCTCAAAGACCCCAGATTTTCTTAACTACGAAAAAGAAAAGGACTTTGAACGTATCCTTCTAAACAAACGGTGAACTTATTATTCTTGAGCCACCTCTTTCAGTCCATGCTGACAATTAAATCATGTGTATCCTACTGACCACGAATGCTAACAAGGACTATCCCTTTGTTCTTTTATCAAACAGGGATGAATACTTCAGAAGAGCCACCCAACAAGCTAGTTTCCATGAGTACAACCATACAAAAGTTTTATCACCATTAGATATGGCACGTAAGGATCATGGAACTTGGTTAGCCCTGAATCCCGAGAATCACAAGTTTTCTATATTGGTCAATTTCAGAGAAGGTATCAAAGATGTTATAAATCCAGTATCTCGAGGTGTTTTACCATTGGATTATGTTGTTTCCGATAGTGTTACGAGGAGTCAATTTTTGAATGAACTAAGTACTAATTATAATGACAGTGAGTTGTTAACAAAGATTGGAGGGTTTAACTTATTGTTTGGAGATTTGAAGAATAATTCATTTGATATTATTTCTAACAAGAATAACTCAGATTTCAAGATCTTTACTAGAAAGAATGAATATCATGGATTATCAAATTCTTCGTTTGATGAGCCTTGGGAAAAAGTTAAATCTGGTGAGCATCTTTTACAAAAATTGACTGAAGATTATAATAAGAATGACTTTATTGGGAAAGAACAATTTGTTGAACAATTATTTGACTTATTGTCGTTAAATACATTGGGAAACATTACTCAAGATTATCAAGGAAATTTTGAAAACATTAGAAATACTATCTTTGTTCCACCTTTAAAAGTCAGGGATTATAATAGAAATAATCTATTGGCTGGTGAATATTACGGTACAAGAACTCAAACTATTATTTTGGTTGATAAGTTTGGAAAAATATCATACATTGAAAGAAATCTACATTCTTCTGATGACTTGAATGAAACACCACAACTCCAATCATATGAGTTTGAAATGAAATGAAAACAAAACACTAACTTATACATATATATGAATCTAATGAATCTAATTATTAAAATACAATTCATTCAAAGCTTTTGTTGTAGCCTCTGCAAATTCTTCACTTTGTTTGACGCAAAAACTATGAACCATTTCATCACTATTTTCGACAAAAGCATTTTCGACACCCTCCATTCTTTCTGTAATCTCTTTTTGAGTCTCATTCGTTACCCAGTGATCAACATTACTGAAAAAGAACCATTTGGGTATTGTTGTTGTTTGTTTTAAAAATTCATTTTCAAAAAAATCCCAATCATTTTGAATTACATTCAATTCCTCTATAGCTAGTCCAATTGATTGTCTTATATGTTGAGGATTTGATATGAAGAGACTTGTTGATTCTAAAGCATGAGCTGGTGGGTTTCTCAATGTTTGTGATAACAAAAACCTAGTTATCCTTTCAGGAAGATAACCCAATAGGCTACTTAATTTGGCCAGTAGAATATTTAAATAGGGCAAGATCTTAATCAATGGATAAGCAGTTCCACCTTTTTCAGATTTATGAATATCAATTATCGTAGGAGTTATGAATCCAATGAATTTAAAATTCACTTTATCCAACAACTTCAAAACAATTCTTTCCACCATCCAAGAACCAACAGAATGACCCATTATCAACACATCACGATTAGCGCCAGCGCCATCACTTAAAAACTCTTCAATCACTGCAACTTTATGATCTATCTGACCTTGCAAATCAACAACCAAATCAAATTCATCACCATTAAAACCATCTGGAATCTGGTGACCAGCCTGAGCTATACCCAAGATTTCCAGAGTTTTGAACTGGGCTCCCAATAGTTTGAAATACGGAACGTAATAACTAATCACACCAGGGTTCCCAGGAATGAAAATTAGCAAAGGCCCATTGGCAGGACGGGCTCTAGGCAGCTGGTGATATACCGATGTTGGTAACTTGACACCAGCAAATGATTTAAGCATTTTCCAACCCACCAAATACTGAGCTTTGAGTCTAGTTCCACACTAAATTGTAAAAATTGGCTCTAAAACCAGCATCTGTCATTTCAGCCTGTGTCGCTCGCGTTTGGGCCTAGACTCGACGCATGTAAATTTTCAGTTTAAACAAATAACAAAAATATAGAGTTTTAGTTTCCTCTGAAGTTTGGGAAAACATTGTCTAGTTTAATTGAAAAACAAATACATTTGGAAAAGATTATTTGGTTGAATTCATTTACTCTTGATCATCCACAAGTGCTGTGAGGAAAAAAGAACAAACATGTCCGATGTGAGTACAATTCATTTCATTGGCATTTTGATGGGATCCACTGACAATAGGTAACCAGTACAAGAGAAGAAAAATCGATGAAAGCGGTGGTGGTGGTGGAAGCTTGATTGCGGCAAATAGAGCAGCTAAGGAACAACAACAACAACAAGAAAAAATCCTTCAATACCTTCAGAGAACTACTGCTCAAGATGGATTAAATGCGGCGGATAATGATGATGTTGTCATGGAACCTGAGGTTTATGATTTAAATTGGTTAGAGAATTTATCAAAGGAATTAAAGACAACCGTTCAACAGAATTCTGATGTTAGAATCAAGTATTCAAATGATCCATTGAAGTGAGTAGTATCTAGTTAAGATGGTGTTGAGAATGGCATACTAACACAATTGTGAACAGATTTTTGGACTCTGAAACTAAATTGAATGAAATTGTCAAACAAATATCAAATATCACTTTAGCTGAACTCCCCTTATACAATGATTTTATAAGACTAAGTGGTGAATCCTTATCACAAATCATCACACACCCTAATGGTGATATAATTAACCAATTTATAATAGTGTTCAATGATTTAATTGATCATGAATATGAACAAGATCAATCAATATTATTACAATTTATCAAGACACAAAACATCGTGAATTTCTTGCTGGAATACTTGAAAATTCTTATAGATCAAGATGATGAAGATTCAAAAGATGTACAAATTACAATATTAACTATTTTCAATGAATTGACCAACTATGAAGATGACGAACTTCGGAAACAATTGATTGAATTTGATCAACTTACTCAATTTTTCAATGATTCAGTACGTCAAATATCTACAGTTGAAGGGATTTCTTATTATGATGAACTTGTTACTGATTATTTATTCAAAATTGTTGATTGGGATAAACTACGGTTTGTTGCTAAACACGATTCTGCTATTGAAATTTTCCTAATACAATTATCACATTTTACCGAGATTCAACCTGAAGAAGGATCCACTCAAGAAAATTTCGTTGAATCCATCATCTCTATATTATCTATGGTTTTAACTTCAAAAGATGGTCGTTCAAAATTTCTTCAACTTGAAGGTTTTGAACTATTGTTGATTTTGATAAAGAATGGAGATTGGGGATTCAAAACATTTGTTAAACTATCCAATTATTTGATTGAATCTATTAATGATACTAATAACGTTGAGTTATCAGTATCCATAATTGAATCTAACTTCTTTTTAAATAATGTTTTCAAAATTTTAAAGCAAAATCATAAAGATCGTGATGAAATTTATCAAATATTGAAAATTTTGGTTAAATTGATAATTTTCTTACCGTTCAACTCTGATCAAAGAATAAGGTTGATCAATAAGTTGGTTAATAAGAACTTCAAGAGTTTAAATGTCTTGTTGAAAATTGAATCAAAGTATGATCAAAATGTTTCAAAATTAGATGTCAATTCAGAACAAACATATTCCTTTGATGACCAATATTTAGAAAAGATTGAAAATGGGCTAGATATTTTACAACAGATTAGTATATTCAAGTCATGGTTGTTGATAGAGGATGAGAAATTGAAGAATGATATGATTCATATGAAGCATTTCAATTTGGAGAAGTTGAAGAATATACTGAATGGTTATAAAGATGAATTAAAATTCAATATTGAAAACACTGAGGATGATGTTACCAAAAATGAGTTCTTTGAGTATATTAATATGATTAATGAGTTGCTAGCTAATCTATATACGTGAATGAGTGAAAAAAAAGTGTTTGTTGATAAATTTAAAGATTGTAAAACTTCCCTATCAGGCAACTGCTAAATCTGTCAAATTGCAGAATCAGCTTTCCCTTTTGGGCATTTTCAAGATTACGTTTTTCGCTTTCGGGTTTTCGTTTTCGCTAATTTTTAACAAATTTTTACACATCAGATTTGAAAATTGACACACACATTTTTCGAAGCAGCAGTTGATTGAACAGAATGATTATCAATCCTTAATTTTCAAGATACTATTCAATTCATAGACATTCACACATATACCTCTTGAACAAACCGAAATAACCGTCAATTAAGTACACAATACAACACATTTGAGGTCTAAGGAACCGGCTACATTCTTGAGTGAGATAAGATTTGAAAAGAGCTTGATCCCGGCTGCATTAATTGGCGACTAATTCCGTCTTGAAGGTATTAATATTTCAAGTACATTCGGTGATTATAGGTCAATTTTAATGGAGGAGGAATCTATTGTGACACAAAAATTATATTAATTAGTTTATTGCATGGTCTGAACCAAAATTTACATCATGAATTCCATGAAAAGGAATGGATTGCGAGTTTTCGTTGATCAAAATTCAAAAACTGAAGAATCAAGTAGTGATGATGGTGATGAACGTGGTACTCCAACCCAATTGAAAGAGGCTGCTAACATAGAAGAAGGTGTTGAAGTTCCTGAGCGTCAAGGACTGCTGCCCCATTGCCAGATATCAATGACGACTTAAATAGTCCAGTGTTTTTTGAAGATAGTAATAGTTCATCACATAGCAGGACACAATCATTGGAAAAAGTGATAACAATGACATCGTTACATAGAACAAGAACAAGTTCCTATAATAATAAGACCACAACACCAACACCATCAATTTTCAATACGCCCAAGGCTGATTTGCATCATGATTATACCCACACACCTTCGAGCTCAATAGTTAAATTAGAATCTGGATTGGTGACACCTGTTAGGGAAAGACTATTGGAGGAGGATGACATGGAGCACAATAGATTAGAATATTCACCAACAATAACAATTGATGAAAGGTTTGATGTTAAAGTGGATATACCTTCGGAAAAGGCATTACCGAGAACCACTGAGGATAAAATCAAATTCTTTGAAACTTTCCAAAAGAAAGAAGCTCAAGAATTTGATAAAACTTTGAAAAGTTTGAAAAAAGGTGGTTGGATAACTTCAAAAGATTTATCATCATTAGAAACTAAGAAACATAATCATTTCAAAAAATGGGAGATCAAAATCAAAGAGTTGAAGAATTCTCTAAGGCACAAGAAATTACAACAAGGTATCCATGGTACTCCTCCTATAAGTTCTGCTGCTAGTGGACCTGTTACACCTGGTGGTCATATTGATGATTTCAGCTATTTTAGTCCAAAAATAAAAAATGATGTTGAGAATTTTGAAGGTGATAGATCTCCAAACTTGCAAACTTTGGAACAACAGTTTTCAGTACTGGGTATAAGTCAGTGAAACCAAAGCAATACAAAACAGTATATCAGTGGAAATGAAAATCATAGAGTTCAATTTGGGAATATGCTGTCATTTATAAGCTTGAAATTTGGCGAGTTTCAACCCATCGTGTTTGGCGGTTGTAAAGGGAATTCTGATAAAATTTCAGTCAAGACAATCAAAGTCAAGGCAATCAAGATGAAAGTGAAAAGACTTCATTTCCCAATCAGAAGTAGAATCTGGAACATGAGTCCTTCACAATTTATATACCTACACTTTTCTAGACAACTTTAATTAGTCCCAGTTCCCTCGAAATTGTGACTATCAAGGTTCACAGTCACATAGGAGCAAGAAAGTTTAGCTCAGTTTTAAGGACCCTTCATGTTGCCAATTATTTTCAATAGCTTTCAAAGACATCCACTATAATTAAAAGCAATCTGTAATTTAATGTTGCGATATAGTTAATTCGAAGTAAATCCTTGTCATGTAGAATAACTTAACCTGGATACTGCACTGGGTGAAACATCTCGAATTACGCAATAATTTTGTATCACTTTACGAGCGCGTATACGCACAATGTAGTCTGCCTTTTAAAATCAAGATTAAATATTGTAATCAAGCTGTCTATAATTAATCCGCAGCTTGTTGACCACACAATATTGCCGGTATAGGTTAGCACAATGTAATATTTAATCGTGAGTAAAAGATCCGGAGAAGAACGATAAAGTCCTAGCTAGCATCTGGTCTCCCTCTGTGTCTCAGAATGCCCATGAGCTGGTGCTTCTTTGAAGTAAAGATCCTACTGGAAACTGAATTCTGGAGCGGCCTCCTAGGTAGGGTTCACTGAGGTAGGTACTTATTCTATTCAAAAGCTCAGAGAAGGACAGCTCACGCTTGAAGGTGGAATACATCATACCAATAACAGTTTGAGAAGACAAGAGACTTCTATGGACATATCAAGTTGAAGTCCCTGTATAATATTGGTTATCAGTAGTGCCATGATTTATATCTTGTGTAGATTCTAGGGACTAGCTGCCATGTTGTTAGCGATGAAGTTGAGTTAGTCCAACTCTAGAGCCGGGCATGTTATTAAAACCGAGAAGGACGTTAAAAATTTGATTCAAAGCAATCAGATAAGATCGAGAAGTACATTAAACAGGCAATCTGAGCCTCCTTATGCTACATCAATACTTTTGAACCACTAGTACACCTTTCATAACTTTTCTGAATGTACTGTTGGTTTCTTTTCTAGAAGCTCTCTATCTTGCACATCAAATTGATTCCCCTGGAGATTTCATGCAAGGAAGTTTTTTTTACCCAGTTCAAGAATTCCTCGCCAGTTGTCAAACAAGCTTCTGTGCAGCGGTTGCACTAAAATAAACTGTACAACAAAGGACGGACCAACAGAGATCGCAACTTGGAATAAAGATTCCATAAACATTTATAAACTATATATACCCTTCTGTTCTTTCACCAGCTCACAACTCACAAAAGCTTTCAGCTGCAGTTCCTGAAAATCTCACCTGCCAGCAGAAACAAATTTGGCGAAAAGAACGAAAAAATCAGCAGTCGACGGTGGAAACGTTTCTTTTTTTTGGACGCGAAAAGAAAATCACAACATTCAAAATCTCAATCTCGATAAAATATTTCAATAGCTGATCATAACGAAACGGTTGCAAAAACTTTCTTTTCCTTCTTTTCATCCCTCAACAGATATATTAAAGAGTTGATACCCTTCATTACCACAAGCTTTAAAGTTCAGCTCACTCGTTTTTGAGATTTGGTTAATTTAGCAAACCATTTCTGACGTGCTACATCAGTGTTGTTACGGACAGTTCCCCATAAATCGTTCAGAAAAGCATTCGAGAATTTCAACAAGCGTGATAATTTAATTGGAAACATTCCTGTTATCAACCAATTCTACTGCTGCTGCTATTACTCATTCACCTTCCAAAGTGATAACCAGACTTGTATATCATTTGATAGGTTCCATCCTTCCAACTGGTTACCATCATCATGCCTTCCAAGAACGTTCCTAGTTTGGAGAATCTGGTTAACCAATGTTGCGAAAATTATTATTCAAAATTAAATGAATCAGTGGCTGATGAGCTAAACATTTCAAAACAGAATAGTAAAGAAAGCCAAGACTCTGAAAGAGATAAATATTATTCATATTCCAAGTTTCAAGAGTTTATTAGCGCCTCACATTGTCAAGAGAATCTAAAATTCTTGATAGAGATTTATCATTATGAAAAAATTTGGAACAAAACTTTCAAAAGGCAATCATCAATATTGAAGTGTAAAGATGATGAAGCTATGAATTTCCCACCATCAAATTCAAGAAAGCAAAGTGTTGCTACAATCCGCACTATGAATTCAAGAAGATCAAATCGTCATCCATCAATCATGGAAGAAACCCCATTACAATTAATTTCACCAGTACCGTCAAATAAACAAGATGAACAAACCAGTTCATTATCCACAACAGAAGATGATCCAATATCTCCTGTAACGGCTCCTACCGAATCTGATCACGGTTTAAGCCATAATGATTTGGATAAGTTAGTTCAAGAACTATCACTACCCAAAATTTTAAAATCTGGAGATGACATTGATACAAATTCATTCTTAAATCAAGATCTTGCGAAGCATGGAGCTTATGAAACTCCAAGAACAAGAAGGTCAATTTCACAAGCTTCAACTTCACCTACTAAAAAATCTACAGAGATTTGGGATTCATTATTCAAGCCATCTTATATTTGTGAAAATGATGCAGAATGTGCATGCCATACTAAAAATCCAATAATTGATGATCATAGTGAAAATAGTGATGAATTTAATGAGGCTATTGAACAACAAGAAGTTTTAGAACATTTGAAAGAAGAATTAAGAGAGAAGTTTGAATTCATAATCAGCAATTATGTTGTTAACAATTCACCTGAACAAATCAATCTTCCAGATACAGTATATTCAAATCTTATGAAAGAATATGAAAATAACAAGATTTTATATCACTCACCATTAACTTTATTACCTTCCAAAAATGTTGTTCTACAACTATTAAGGGAAAACATTTATTATAATTTTTTGGTGGATCAAGAAAATTTGATTAATAAAGAAAATTCACATAAAATAATTAAAAAGATGGACGAAATGAAGCTATCTAACACACCATCATCATCAACACTTCCAGCTATACAAACAATCAATACAACAAAGTCCAAAGAACTTAAGGTTCAACCTCCAAAACCAATTTCAGTCCGTTCAAATTCCTCAGATGAATCATTGAAATCAAAAACGAACACTCCTATCTCAACAATCTCCAATTTCTTAAACAAATATCATATCAAAATCCATCACTCTAATTCATCATCTTCATTAGTGACACAATTAACCGATAATTCAAGTTCAAATTCTTCAAGCAGTCAAGCACCATCACCAATTTCAAAATCATTACCTAAAAAATCATCAACATTCTCATCATCAACATCGTTACCTGGAACACCATCAACATCCACATCCACATCTCGCTCAGATAAATTCCAGCATAAGCATTATTCACATAGCTCCAAGTATGTTAAAGGTCCTTGTGGTATAGAGCCCAACATGGCTGATTATGATCCACATCCTCCAACTGAAAAACCTCATCATCATGCTTGGGCAAGAATGACCTCAAAATTCAAGCATAAGAAATGAATAGCTAATATTGTTTTTTGCCCGTTATGATTATCTAATGTTCTCGTTTTGTTAATAGTTTTATCATGTATCTTGTACTCTTTTAATGATCAATAGATTGTTTTCACTCATAGAGGTTATAGTGTAGTTTCCTTATCTGGTGTATTTCCTATTTTGGTGATTTTTCTTTTTTATTGTAATGTTAACATGATTAATCAACTCCAAATGAATTATCTGTTCTCTTGAATTACAAATATGGTGTGACTCTGGCGTTGTTATTGCTTTGCCAATCCATATTCCCATCTTTTGTTCTCATTATTTGCAAATCTTCCCCTGCCAGCCATTTCATTTGTTCTAATTTGAAATTCGCGATAACAATTACAGGTTTTTTTTTGTGACAGAAAATTTGAGTAATCCACAGTTTATTTAAAGCACTCCTGTCATAAATGAACCCAAATAAAATCACAGGTTTCTTCCGAATATTCATCCATTGTTAATGAATTGCAACTACAAACGGTTTTAATATACCATAATGAGTGACATTGGGTGGCCAAAAGGTCAGGAATCCCTGGCGTCTGAGAGCTCCAGCTCTTCTTCAAACCGAACTCCACAAACTCCACCATCTGCAACTGCATCTGCTGCTACTATTATCTCTGATGAAGAGCTGAATTCAGGTCAACTAGCTGACAAAGGAACTGGAATTACTTCTTCAATTGTTGTTGATCCACCAGAAGATAATGAGTTAAGTTCTGAACAAAGTTTACCCTTATCACCACCTGCACACATTCTGAAGAGGTTGACTCCTTTGAAAAGAGTTAGAAATTCAAACACTAGCCCTTCTAGCTCTTCTGCTGTCTTTCCTGATTCTAATACAGGCTCACCTCCAAGACGGAAAACTAAAACTCATAAACCAAGAACTCTGAGTGCTACGGAAGTTGTGAATAAAGTCACAAGACTGCAAATTTCAGAATCTTTGAAGCGTGAAGAGAAAAAAGAGGCACTGAAACAGAAACTTGAAAAGGCATTGAAGAATAGAGAAGAAGTTAATAAGAAAAAGAGTGAAAATGCCAAAAAGTTTATAGAAAATTCAAGAATTTGGAATTCATTTTTGGAAACTCATGATGATTTTAAATTGCAGAATTCTGATGAAGAATTGGAAGTTGATGCTGGTGAACCTGCAAATGTCAACAATGAGTTCAGTGGTACACCTGCTGCTGGGTTAACATCCTTCTTGATCCGTATAGATGATGTTTTGAAGATTCAAAAATCTATTAGAGCACATTTCTTCAAATCCCAAGTCAACACAAAACCCCCTTTATTAAATGTTTTACAGTCAAGTGACGTTTTGAAAAAGTTGAATGAAACTTCCTTTGATGATGTTCGAGGTTTAATTCTAGAAGAAAGCTCAAAGAGCCTTATAAGGAATTTTTTACATTCAATTGGTGCCCCTTTGATTACACCTCTAGAGAATTCTACGCTGGTTAGTGAAACCATATTTTTATTAGCTATTTGTCTTCTTCATGTCAAGGTGAATTGTTCTAAATCAAATGAGTTTGATTCTTTGTTTAGGGCAAAACTAGGCGAGGATGCTAAAAAACATTATGAGGGATATCGCCATCCAACTTTCATGAGGTTGCACTATGATGATGATGAGTTTTCAAATTTCCTTATTGAAAAGCTAACAAATTGCTCAGAAAGACTCTTAAAATTTTTCAAAATTTTGATTGATCAAAGGAAAGTTGTTGATTTCAAGTATTATGACATGGATAGATTCAATTTCTTGAAGGCCTGGAGACAATATTTGGAATTGTTTTTGATTTTATCTGATGATCGTGATACAAAATTGTTGCATCTGTTGTTCAAAGCAAATGATGTTTTGGTGTCTTCACTTGCGATCCAAGAGCATATCAATGAAAATGAATATATTGGTTTTGATAATCATGAGTTGCAGAGGGTAGTTGGCTGTTTAACTGAAACGCTTTTGGATCAGAAGAAGGAAATTGTTGCCTCTGTGAAGTATTTATCTAAAGTGCAACCGCGTTGGGGAATTTCTTTTTCATATAAAGGACATCGATGGCTTACTAGAGGATTCACATTGGAACAGAAAAGATCGCAACTTTATGAAACATATATATTCTGGACCTCTTCTTCAGGCACTGCACTAAACATTATACCACCGGCTCTCCCAGGCATCACCACAAATGAGTGGAGAAGGTACTTGTTGTTAGGTGTTTACCGAAATTTAGACAACTGGGTTAAAAATTTAACAAAATATAGAACATTGGTCGCTCCTCGGACTCTTAGAAGTGGTTTCAGAAGATCATCATACCCATTTGCGGCTCAAATATCAAGTTCTAGACACACTAATGTGTGTTATAGACCATCTATTGAACATGTTAATTTTGCATTGAAGATTGAAGATGATTTCAATATTTTATTTGAAAAAATCATTATTTGTCGTGAGATAAAAGAAGATTTCAAACCAGTTGCATCCTTGATTGTAACAAAATCGTTAAAGTTTTTGCGGGACTTAAGTTGTTTATTGACAGATCATCATCAGCTTGAGTTGTTTTATGAATCACTTGCTCAAATTTTAGATTCAGTGAGGAAATTTATTCCTTGTGAGCTTGAGAATGAGATTCCATTTGAAACAATATCCAATGAAATTTATGACGATTATGGGAAGTTCGAAGTTTTCATTTATTCCTTTTGTGTGGTTTTGAAGACACTTGGTGCAGAAAAGTATACAGCTTATTCGAAATTTGGCATTTCCAAAGATTCATTGAATAAATTTGAGGTTTTGGCTAAAAGTTGTGAGCTGAAAGTTGATATTGAAAAAGTTGGTAATGGTGAACAATTTGATGTAATACTTTTAGCTTGGAGAGGCTTGATGATTGAAATGACTAGTATCTGGATACATCACTTCAAAACATCAAGAATTGCATTACACCGTAAAACATATGGGTTCATTGATAGATTTTATTTTTCAAAGTATATTTTGCATCCTGAGTTTGATTTGGATGTCTTGAGAAGAAATTGGAAATTTGAGGTTAGAAATACTTGTATCAGTCAATTCATTGAAGTTGAGTCTCCATTAAATCACTCAGTGACTTGTTTACGAGCAGATAAAAACAAAATGACTTGTGAGTTCATCATGGCCAAAATGTTTGATTTAATAAAGAATGGGTCTGAGAAATTGAGATTGCCTTTAACATTTGATGTTTGTCACCCTTTTATAATTGAACAAGTGAACAACTATAAGTTGATTCTTCAAGTTATATTTATCCAATTTGCAGTGGACTATTTCTTGGGTCATACACCCCTTGTTCTCACTGGTGAAGAAAACTTAAACAATGGTATCGATTATGACACAATGAACAAATCCATTATCAAACCAAATATTCCTAAGCTTGGCAGATCAATATTTAAGTATTTCAAAGATGAAGATGTTATCATAAACCCAAACTTTATGTTGGATGATTGTGATATTCAAAACATTTTGGAAATAATAAAGACCCATATTGAGGATAAAATTGCTAATGATCCAAGAACTAGAGATCTTTACTCGCACTCTGGAAATTCTTCAGATGGATATGATAAACTTGCAAGAAATAATTCAACTGAGAGTTCATTGGCGGGGGTTTTGAAAAAGATTAAATATTATCCATTCCTTGCAAAACAATGTAACACTGGTTTTTATTTGGGAGTATCACAACGATGGAAAGCTGAAGGTTTCAAAGGTATGGATGGGTATGTTGAAGGTGTAGAAAAAGAATTTCATGCGATGGCATTTGAAATGAGGAAGATTATACGAGTGAGTTGTTGTGTTTTTGGTGATTTGATTTATTGAGACACCAACATGGTTATGGGCTTATTGTCAAGTCTGGATGAAGAAGTTTTGAAGTTTTGGAGTTTAGAAACTTGCTGGTTGTTTATCATAGTTCACTCTTGTCAAGTTTTGGGTATAATCAAATGATGGAAAGGTTTGATTTGGTAATTCATAAAATAGGAATGAGTGAATGGTTTTAAGGAATATTTTTAATAAGGATCAGTCATCGTGCTCGATTAAATAATTTTATAATATCATGTTTAATCAACGAACTTCGTACGCGTAGATACTAGAGATTATCTATATAAAACCATTTAGATCGCTGAAGACACAAGCAGCTACTTTGAAATCATAGCCAACTTTCCAGTAGATTTGTACTCTGGAAGATTGCCTTCAATTGGTGCCTTAGTCTATTAATAACCATCTTTACATTTGAAGCACACTCGACTGATCATTGATTTTTGCCGAATCACTATTCCTACAAACGAATTACATCGACTCATAACACAAGCTCTCGAATTTGAGAAAGTACTGGTTGTGCTCTTTCATAAGCATATTATTTTATTATTTGAAGTATTTGAACCCTTTTATTACACCAAAGTTGATACTGGCTCGCTAGGTACAGTAAGCTCTAGGCTGACAATCGTTCTCTCTAGGCGGGAGAAGGGCCTGTCCGGGATCTGGAAATGCCGACAGGTTTTATTCCCGAACAGCGAAGTGAAGTTTGAAAAATTGTAGTTTTTATGTTCACAAGACAGTAATCTCTACAAGATTCAAAGATCTGTAAATGGATCATGAACTTCAAATCTCAAAATCGCATTCTTTATTTAAGCACACTAGGTGGCCTAGACTGACCAGAATTTAGTACCCATCGATCCTAGGTACACTGGTTAAATAAACTATATCATGGAAGCATGATTTGGCCAATTCAGACCCCTTCTAATTATAGACGAGGCAACCTCAAATTGTTTGCGGGAGTTTAAAGCTCTGAAACATTTGTACAACTGTTTACAAAAAGGAAGCAAACCAACAGCAAAGGAACGTACTACGTCTCACATCAACTTGGTTACATTAGTAGCATATCAAGGTCATACTTTGTGCTCCAGGCGCTTACCAAGATCAAATTCAACGATCAAAGTTCAAGAGATGACTTGTACAACCACGGGGACAGCTCTCGTAAACTTGATCCAGCTTAAATTAATTTATTATCTTGACTCATGCCAAGTTACAGCTTAACAACCAAATCTTCACAGAATCCAGCTTTACAATTGCAAATGTTATATTGGATCTGATTCAAAAACAGCACGGTTTAATGAATCTTAATTTAATACGTACATTTTATCACAGCTTTTGCGACAGAAGAAAGAGTACTACAGTGTCGCTTAGCTTTGTACAAGCTGTGCAAGAGTAACAAGTTGGAGTTTTTTTCAATAAATCATAGCTTGATTGCAACATAGATATAAGACATGCTAGTGCACATCTACATATGTAAATGAGCTTTCAGCTTAGACATTGCCGGCTGGATTTAGTCGGTTTTAATGGCTCTTAAACAGCTAGTTCCTTTATCTGATTGACTCTTTCACGATAATTTGCCAATTCATATAGAAAGTAAAGCATCATGTAGCTACCCAAAACAGTGGACGTCTTAGCTTGTGGTTGCTTCATCACCATATGTTACAAGTTTGATAGAAGGTGTCAACTCTATGTAGTGTGTGTAATACCTATTGATTCGCTCAGATGAAGTTCTGCAGCTCTCGTTATAAGCTTTAAGATTTTGAACAACAAGAGATGTAGTTATGATGATGATGTTGGCGGCAATAACAGACAATAGACGGGAACTGACAAAAACGAAAACTTGAAGTCCTGCTTCTTCACCAAATGGTCTTTTATCAGGCTTTTGTGATGAGGATCAATAGAACAAATGTGATCTTTCTTGAGTAAAATGTTTCTTTCAAAATGTTTTCAATTGTTCAAACTTTTCTTTCAAATCTTTGAATTTGAGAAGCCTAGGTGCAAACAAAATATGGCCTTTTCCTAGCACTTGACTGGCGATCCAACTAAAAAAAAAGGGGGACTGAAAGGCACAAACAGGCACTTGATCTTTAATGTGTTGTATTTGAAGAGGTTCTTGAGATACAAGTTTATCTTTTTTAATCAAATCTTTTCTCTGAAATGCACCACTTAAACCTGTACAGGTTTTTTTACGGGATTCCAAGTCTATATAAAAAATTTAAACCACCAAACTCGAAGCCTTTTTGAATTTACGGTGACTCGTGAGTCGTGACTGGCGCTGATTTAAAATTCGGCATTTGAGCAAGTCAAGTAGTACAAAATTAATGGGCTTATGAGTCGGTACATTGGGTTAAATTTTGAAACCAGGCAGCCTAGAAACACTTCTTTAAGTCAACCTGCGACAAACACACCAAGAATTACATAAAAGAGGGTTTTGTTGAGTAAAATAATTATACGAATTATTAAGACATTTAATTTTTACCAGGGCATTCGGTGTTTCAAAGTTACAGTTGACTCCGTGAAGAAAAAAAGAATCACAATAGGAGTTCTACTATACATGAGAGAAGTTATGACAACTTATAACTTGCCACATTCATATGTTACAACGAGTAGAATACCCTAGGCTGTAAAAGATGAAGGTGTTGTAGCCGTGTGGTTGGTTGTGGCGTATGAGCCTATAATCACAAGCTCTTGTTCCGTGGGATATGAACAAATTGATCTGTTCAGCGTGGGACTGAACGGATGCTGTTGCAACGTTCACCATCGACAAGGAAAGTTGAAACAGGTGTGCCTTGGGAAGGTGCCGAAGTACTTGTGAAAACAGAACCAGACAAGTTCAAGATTCAAGTTCAAGTAGATCACCATGAAAATTGTACAATGCTCAACTCAATGTCAGAATCTAACAGATCAACTCCAAACGCTCCCAAGAGACCAGTTGCTAGACATGCCTGTTTAGCGTGCAGAGAGAAAAAAATCAAGTGTGATGGTGAAATTGCTCCACAACCTGGTGAAAAAGCTGGTGAAGTCAAACATCAACGTTGTTCCAATTGTAAGCTGCTAAATATAGAGTGTGTGTTTGTGCGAAGTCTACGTGGTGGTAGAAGAAAGAAACCTCAGGATGGCAAAAGTACAGAAAGCTCAACTCCAGGTGGATCTACGCCGTCAGGGATCCCAAAAGCACCTTCATCAACTTCACAAAAACCTACAAGCATCAATTTACAGAATTTACAGAGTCTACAAAATGGTGGATTCCTTTCGCAAAGCCCAGCTGGCTCAATTGCTTATAGCATAGCTTCAAAATCTTCAACGGGCAAAAGTTTGGATCCACCTGCCAACATCATGTCCAATGTATCATCACCATACTTCAATAATGGGAACATGTCACCTCTTGTGACACCGGGATCTGAAAGTTCAGCCAATACATCCTCTACATTGCAAGAAAAGGTCCGTGCTCTACAGCGTGAAGCTGCCAGTATTCAATCTCAACTATGTGGAGAGACTCCAGAAACTCCATCAGGCTCATCAAGAGGTGCTTCTGATTATTATTCATTACCACCACCTCGCGGAGAAAACAACCAACACCAACAGCATTCATACCATCCTCATCATCCACCACCACCACCGCCTCAAGGTCCACATGGATTTCCACCTCCACCACCGTTGATGCATTCTCATCATTTCCCACCACCTCCTCCGCCTTTTGCTCATAATAGAGATCCAAATTATAGAGAGTGGGAAGATAGTTTCCATGGATCATCATTACCTCCACCTCCTCCACCACCTCATCATCATCACCACCATCATCATGCTGCTAGTCCATACGACCAACATCCACATTATCCTCCACCACCAGGTCCACACCCACCTCCTCCACCAGGACTCCAAGGAGAATCAACTTTACCTCCAACACATCGTTCAGAATATGGTTCAAGTCGTGGTAGTTATCCAGATGACAATGATGAATTTCAAAGGAAAAGAACATTTTCCAGCAGAGGATCAAAAGAGACACAAATAACAACTCCTGGTACCTCAATATCTAGTCATAATAACTCGCCAGGTGTTTTGAATGCTATTTCAGTATCTGACCAAGAGTTGGAATTGTTTGACTTGCCAAATTGGAAGACAACTTGTATCCTCATTGATTTGTATTATAGATATATTCATCCAAGTCGTCCTTTTTTACAACCAAAACATAGATTCGTGTGTCATTTGAATGTGAGGAAAGATGCATCATTATTACATGCTATGTTTTCTTCATCATGCCGTTTTGCAAGTCCACAAATGATTCCTAATCAAAACCTAAGAGATAGTCAACATTGGTATTTTCTTGCTGAGAAATTCTGGGATTTATTAGACTTGGAGTCATCTTTACAGGCCATGGTGTTATTATCGGGCTCATTGGGTCCTGGTGGCTATGTCCAACAGGCTATTGAGGGATCTGAAAGATTACTGAGGTTAATGAACTTTAATAAAGTTTTAACAACTTTACAAATAGATACTGATTATGAAAGTTATGCACAGGTTGCTACGAAAAGACAAATGTTATTGAGGGAAGATTTGTTGAGAACTATTTGGGGTAGCTGGAAGCTTAATGTGTTTCTGAGAATCAATAGAGGTTTCCCATTCAACCAAATATCCGATCAACTATTAGGTTTTGAACCAAATTTGCAATTCCCATCTTCAGATTCGGCTTATAATGTCAATTTATCCTTATTTGATACAAACGATAACATTAGCCCAAACTCATTAAAGTATAGAACTTGGAAAGATATTGAAGAAGAACTAAGACTGGCATCTACTAATTCTGCGGTTTACAAGAGTTTCAATGATGCTGATTTAGTTATCATGGCAATAAAAACCGTTGAGGATATTATGAACACTATTTGTCAAGGGAAATTAACATTAGGTGAAGTGGTATCGTGTAACTCAAAGATCAAATTGATTCAAGATATCACTAATAGTTCATTATATCAAATATCACATATCAAGAAGAAAATTCTTATATTGAACGTGTCCAAGATTTTTGGTCTATTTATTTTGGCAGTTGCAAAACTGGTTATTAATGTGACACAATGTGCTTCATTGCTATTGATCAAACCACATGAAACAAACTCAAATACAAATCCAGATGATGTTTTCAACTCATTATATAAACTTTCAGTTGATGATATTTTCCAAGCTTGTTTGAACACAAATGAAATCCAATTGCAGCATTTCATTGAAACATTTTTATCAGCTTTGGAAGGTGTTAAAATGCTTGAATTAGGTGAAGGTAAAATTCCACAGAATGATAATGCTGCTTTCCCAATGGATGTTGTTGCGGGCCCATTAAATTTCACCCCAGCTGGTGAAATTAATTCTTTAAGATCTCAAGAGAATTGGTGGTTAGATGCTATTGAAGAACCAGGGAAGGTATCTTCAGCCAGGGTTGCTTATGATGAAAGGTTTCCTGATGTTTGGTGTCAATATCCTGTTTTCTCAGTAGTGGTTGTTGCTAATTCGTTAACAATATTGGCGTCTTCTATCGTTTTGACTAAATTTATTTCCTTCAAAGAGAACAGAACAGATCCAACATCCACTTCAGGTATGAAAAAAGTTGATTTCATTGTTGGAAATAACCAAAAAAACGTTACGTTGGAATTGTCTGAAAGTGTTTATGCTATATTTGTTGAAAATTTCAATGTGGAAATATTAAAAGAGAAATTAAGACTATGCTCAAGATATGTCCAAGCACATGGAAGATTTTGGCCATATGTGGAAACTACAGCTAATCAATTGGAAACAATTATCAATTATATCGATGATGTTATTGCCAGAGTATGATAAGGTTAATGCATGTTTTACGAATTCTATATTGTAGTCATTTCTTATTAATTTATACCCTAATAGTTTTCATAACCAACAGTTTCTAATTTTTCAGCTTTTGTCAAAACTTCTTCTTCTTGTTTCAACAAATAGTTTTGCATTTCAGTATGGAATTGATCGTTAAAAGTACCCAAGATTCTAACAGCTAATAGAGCAGCATTTGTACTGTTGTTGATAGCAACGGTAGCAACTGGGATACCTCTAGGCATTTGAACAATAGAATGTAATGAATCAACACCATCTAAAGTAGAACCTTTAACTGGGACACCAATGACTGGTAGTGGGGTCATAGCAGCGACCATACCTGGTAAATGGGCAGCACCACCGGCACCTGCAATAATAACTTTCAATCCACGTTGAGATGCTTCAACGGCATATTTAGACATACGGTGAGGAGTTCTATGAGCAGAAACAATAGTAACTTCAAATGGAACACCAAATTTCTTCAAAATGTTAGCACCAACTGACATAACTGGTAAATCTGAATCTGAACCCATTATTATACCAACTAAAGGTTTTGGAGATTTACCTTTTTTATCATCATCAGACAATTCTAATTTTGGTGAGTTACCAATAATATATTCAAGACGACGTTCACTTTCTTTCATGTCACTTGTGACAATGTTGATATGACCCATTTTTCTTGCAAATCTTGTAGATTTACCATACAAGTAGACTGAAGCACCTGGAGTTTCTAAAGCACGTCTACAAGCTACTAGCTCACCATTTGGCTCTTTTGTTCCTAATACGTTCAACATGATGGCATTTGTATTTGTGGTTGATAATGATGTGAAGTTTTTAGGTAATGGTAAGTTAGCAACAGCTCTGATATGGGCTTCAAATTGTGAAGTAACACAAGCATCAATGGTATAATGACCTGAGTTGTGAGGTCTTGGGGCAATCTCGTTAATTAATAGTTCACCATTTGGTAAGTAGAACATTTCAACACCAAAGATACCAGCTCCTGGGAATGACTTGACTGCATTTTGTGCCAATATTTTAGCTTTCAATTGAATAGAATCTGGGACTCTAGCTGGAGCATAGACTAAATGACAAATATTGTTTTCATGAATGGTTTCAACGGTTGGGTATGAAAAGACTTCACCTTCAATTGAACGAACAACCATAACAGCTAATTCTTTTGTGAAAGGAGCCCATTTTTCAGCATACAATGGACGGTTATGTAAGGTTTTCAAAGCTTCTGGGATATCTTCTTTAGTTTTAACAACAAAATTACCACGGCCATCATAAGCCAATGTTCTGGATTTTAAAACAAATGGATAATCAAACTTTTCACCAACTTTCAATAATGATTCTTCAGTATTTTCAACATCAATTGATTCAGCAACTTGAATTCCATGATCTATCAAATGTAGTTTTTGTAAATATTTGTCTTGAATTAATTTAATAGTTTGAGGTAATGGGAAAACTTTGACATTTGAAGATTTAGCAATTCTTTCCAATGCATCAGCATCAACATGTTCGATTTCAACAGTTAAAACATCACATTTCGCAGCTAATTTGGCAATTCCTTCAGCATCAGCAAATGATCCATCAACATGCTCATCCAAAGCATTGATTTGTTTGGCTGGTGAGTTTGGAGCATCCAAAATAACAGTTTTAATGTTGAGACGATGAGCAGCTTCAACAAGCATACGGCCCAACTGACCACCACCTAAGATACCAATAGTAATATTTTCCATTCTTTTGAGTTGCTTTGAATACTTTTACCTTCAAAAGAGTAATAATACAAAAACACAGTAAAATTGATGCTTCAAAAACCTTTACAACATTTTTCTTAATCTAATCTCTATATTCAACTTGAATCAGAGTCAGAAAAAAAAATTATGTCACCAATGTTACGTCAGCAAAGAGATCACATGATATAACACGTGATTTGGGTTACATAATCACAGATCCAAACTGGATCAGGCAAAAAGTAAACAAAAACTCAAACACATACAAGAAATCTTGTACCGTAGCTTTTTGCTGAGTACATGAAGTCTTCGTGAAATTTACTAGTAAATCAGATATTGACACTTTGTTGCTCTATAGATACTTGATGGTTCTGGGGTATAACACAGCCAATATTCATTAAAATGTCAGCATCACCAAATATACAGGAAGAATATGAGGTTCTAGAGCTGATAGGAAGAGGTTCATTTGGTTGTGTGAGGAAAGTTAGAAGAGTTAGAGATGGTAGAGTATGTAAACATTCACACTGTTATCAAATAATTTTACTGACATCTGAGACAGCTACTAGTTAGAAAAGAGATCCCATATGGGCATATGAATCCAAAAGAGCGTACCCAACTGATTTCAGAATTTAGAATATTAAGTGAGCTCAATCATCCAAACATTGTCCAATATGTTCACCATGCACATATACCTGAGCAACATATGCTTTATCTATATATGGAATACTGTGATGGTGGTGATTTATCATTTATAATTAAAAATTACAGAAACTCAAATGAGTATTTACCAGAGGGAATAATATGGAATATCTTCACACAAATACTTATGGCCCTATATCGTTGTCATTATGGAGTGAATTCACCATTAGTCACAAACATTTATGAAGAGATGGAATGTCCAATAATCACTGATAATACAAGAGTTGTTATACATAGAGATATCAAGCCAGATAATATTTTTCTTTCAGATGGGAAATTTAAACTTGGTGATTTTGGTTTAGCAAAATCTTTAGAGCATGAAATTGAATTTGCCACAACATGTGTTGGTACTCCATATTATATGTCACCTGAAATTTTACTGGATAAACCTTATACACCATTGTGTGATATTTGGTCTTTAGGTTGTGTTATTTATGAATTATGTGCATTACATCCACCTTTCCAAGCTAAAACGCATCTTCAGTTGCAAAAGAAAATTCAAGATGGAGTCTACCCAGATATCCCAGAGCATTACAGTGCTTCTTTAAGAAGAATAATTAGTTACTGTATTCAAACTGATTTGAATCAAAGAGCTCCAACATTTGAATTGTTACAACATCTGAATTTCAAGATCCAAATGAAAGATTTACAACTAAACAATTATGAATTGAATTTGAAAAAGTTTGAAGAAGAATTAATGATGAAGGAAAATGAATTGATTAAAGCCAAACAATCTTTAAATGAAGAACTGGACTATCAAAGAAAACTTATTGAACAAGAAGTTGAGGAAATTCGTATTAATTATCAAAATGAGTTCCACTATGTTGTTGATAAAGAAGTTAAGGCAAGATTAAAACAAATGCAATCAGGTGTATCAACACCAAGACCAAAATCATCAATACCTTCCACTGCAAACACTCAATACCATTCTTATCATGCATCGCCATCTGATTTTTCAATGGGTATGTCACCAGGATCACCAGCAGTTCCAACAAAATTTATTAAAGGCCCAAGAGAATATGAGACGCCGGTACAGAATAGAAGACCATTAACTCAGTTATTAGATAATGATCCACCTATTAGTAAAAAATATACCAAACCTACAAATAATGGATATGCACCTCCAAAGACAAACAACTTGATAACTAAGAATGCAAAGTTATTTGAAAAGGCAAATATTATGGATTATGATAATGATGTTGGTTTACCTAGTCCATTTCAAAGAAGGTTTAATAATAACTGGATATAACCTTTATGGAATGAACAAAATGACAATCTCAATATAATTGAAAAAAAAACAAGGATAAGGAACAATATTTACAAAAGGATGGAGGTTTTAATTTTTATATTTATTCTCAAAAACAACACAAAATAAAAAAAATTTGGTACATATTATATGGTTTGGTGGTGTGTTTTTCTTTTTTTAATAATATACATGTTAATCAAAATAACGAATCTATTCCCATTTTTTAGCAGTCAATGCTTCATAAGCTTCAATATATTTAGCTCTTGATCTAGTAGCAATGTCTTCAGTCATACTAACACCTTCTTTACCATTTAATCCATTTGAAGTTAACCAATCTCTTAGGAATTGTTTATCATAAGAATCTTGACCTTTACCTAATTCATAAGTCTTTGCATTCCAAAATCTTGAAGAATCAGGAGTCAAGACTTCATCAACAAGAACTAATTCATTATCTTCAGTTAAACCAAATTCAAATTTAGTATCAGCAATGATTATACCTCTAGTCTTTGCATATTCTTTAGCTTTTGAATATAGTTCAATGGCTAATTTACCAATTTTGGTACATAATTCTTTACCCACAATTTGTTCAGCTTGTTCAATTGAAATGTTTTCATCATGTTCACCTTGTTCAGCTTTTGTTGATGGGGTAAAGATTGGAGTTGGGAATTCTTGAGATTCTTGTAAACCTTCTTCAACTTTAACACCATGAACGGTTCCTGATTTTTTATATTCTTTCCAAGCAGAACCTGTGATATAACCTCTAACGATGACTTCTAATGGGACTAGTTTATATTTATGAACTAATAAAGCACGATCTTGTAATTGAGATTTAAATTCAGGTTTTGATAATTCACTTGGTAAATTTTTGAAAATATCATCAGTTTTAATGATATGAGTCTTAGTGTAAGGACTTAGGAAATCAAACCAAAATTCTGATAATTTAGTTAATAGTTTACCCTTTTCAGGTATACCATTTTCCATTATAACATCATAAGCAGAAATTCTATCAGTTGCAACAAACAATAACGTTTCTGAATCAACTTCATAAATATCACGAACTTTACCACGTGCGATTAATGGTAAGATGCCATGTAGATCTGTAGTTGTAATGGACATTGTGTAGGAGGATTGGTGTGAGTATCAATGGATTGATAAATTATATCAAAGAGAGTACTTCAATGCTCATCTCTTTCTTAATCTTTTTGGTTTTTTTGATAATTAATCTGTCATTTTCCTGAAATTTTGACTCTATCGAGATTTTCAGAGTCAATTGCAACATCAAAGAAATCAAAACTGGAAAAAATGGCAACAAAACAAGGAAAAGAAGTTTAATGAAACGATGCTTTGATAATCTTCAAGTACTGCCCAATTATAATCAATACTCATATCACTCTTTTAATTTGTAGTTAGTTGCCAAAAATTGGCAAAAATATATTCAGTCACGTGATTTTTCCGCGAAACGTTCAAAAAAATGTTCCGATGCGGGGAGTCGAACCCCGGTCTGCTCGGTGAAAGCGAACCGTGCTAGCCGTTACACTACATCGGAGTGAACTTGAAGGTGTTTGGTTGTTGAAACACCCGGTCATAGAACATGTCGTGGCCTTACCAATAAAATATTGATTAATAACTTGATAATTTAGTATAGTGTGATATTATTTTTAGTTAGTATTTAGATTGATTGAGCTTCAAATTTTATTATTATGCTTTTAGATTTGTGAAATGCGTCAAATTGAGGGAATGCAAAAAATTTGAATATTTTTTACGTTAAATCGAAATTAATTTTTAAAAACTAAGGTTGTTAAACTTTTAAAATTTGGTCTTTCAAATTAATATCTAAGAATTTTAATCAAATATGAGTGTTTTTGGGTAGAAGAGAATTATCTATGGGCCCTATTAGTCAGAAAATATGTAGTTATTAGCAAATGTTGATATTATCACGAATTTATAATAAGTGGTTTGATTACATAATTAATTTGTAGGTGTAGCTTACATAACACTAGTCCTGATTTAAATTACTTGCATAAGCGATGATCTTCGAACAATCAATTTTGATCAACTGATCACAACAAGTGCAAAAGGGTTCCATCAGAAAAGGGGGAGATATGTGAAATGGTCATCCTTATGACTTTGGTTACTCTTTTGTTATTATTATTAGCCTTGTTCAGTTGTACTAATTGAGAGATTCAACCAGCCTTAAACGACTGACATGATTTTTATTGTAAATATTGACTTTCAAATTGCATAAAGTTTCCACCATTTTTAAATGTTCTTGTCTGAGGATTCTTGTCTGGAGGTCATTTACATCCTGATTTTCCCATTAATTCTTGATTTTCTTGATTATCTTTTCTACTCATTAAATGATCAATCTGATTAATCCCTTGATTGCTAAAGTAAATATTTGAACATGTGTTTTGTATCCAATTTAAGTTAACGCTATACTTTCATTTGATCTCAGTATTTTACACATTTGACATACAACATTTTGAAAAATTTGAAATTGAACAAGGTCTTACAAACAAAGTCTCAGGTCCCGTAAATAAGGTTTTTCGCTTAAATGGTTGACACAGTACCAAATTTAAAGTTAAGAGTAGGCTACAACTTAAATAATCATTTTAAATGTTTTCATTAAAAGAACTGATGAAACAATCAATCCTAAAGATATTCAAACTAGATAAAAAAAACCTTTAAACCCTTTTGAAGTTAAAACTGGTATAAGTCTAAAAGGAACAAAAAAATAGATAATGCCATGAAATAAAAAACCCTTTAATGTAGAATTAACCGAAAAAACAATAAAACCATGAATAATAGATGATGATAGAATAAAAAAAAAGAAAAACCTGAATAGATAAAAACCGAAATTAATTAATTAAAATTGAAGTTGCTAAATCACTTAGAATAGATAAGCAACAGCAGCAATCAAACCAGCGATTGAACCACCAATAGCTTTTTGTAAAGAGCCAGCACCATTTGAACTTTGAATTTCAACAGAAGCTGGACCAGAACTTGAACCTGGGACAGTAGCTGAAGTTTGTAAAGTGGTTGAAGAACCAGCTGGAGCTTGAGTGGTGGTTCCACTTGGAGCTTGGGAAGTACCGTGTGAAGGAGCTGGAGCTGGAGATGTCCCTTCA